TATCGCTCCCCCTTGATCCGCACAAGGATCAAGTGCTCTCTACGGGCTGATTCTACACCACTTTGGCACGGTGAATCACCCACAACCACTCACAAGATGAGTTGGGTCATCCACAAGCTCCGCCGGATGATCACCAAACTCCCAATCACCACCAAGCTATCTAGGTGATGCTGATCACCAAGAGTAACAAGCAGGAACTCTCACTTGAGCTAAACAAGCCTAATGAGGAAGGTGGATGCACACTTGCTACTCCCTAGACACTAATGAGGTCCTTAATCTTGGATTAACAAATCACAATCACCTCACTAGGCACTTGCTCTCACAAGAATTCCAATGGTTGCCTCAGCTGATCAAATGAGCAAGAGGGGTATGTTGGAGGAGTGGGAGGTGTATTTATAACCCCACAACCAAACATATCCGTTGGAGTTCAATTTGAGTTTTTCAGTATGCACCGGACGCGCCTGTTGGGGACAGCGGACGCGTCCGGTGCATAGCCAATGGCTACATGACATAATCCTCTGACAGGCAACGGCTAGTTTACCTGACTCTGCTGGCGTCCGATCAACACTGACCGAACACGTCCGGTGCTAAAAATGGCTCTCTAGAACCTCTCCGAGTTGCACCAGACGTGCTGGCCTTCAGCGTCCGGTGCCATGGGCTCACCAGCCCTAGGCACAATTCCCATTGTGCCAGGGTCCGGTCAGTTCCCAGAGGTTTCACTACGCTGCCTTGAACTGACCGGACGCGTCTGGTCCCACGGGGACCAGCGTTCGGTGCACCTCGGCTGTCTTTTAACAATGACCGGACGCGTCTGGTCCCACGGGGACCAGCATTCGGTGCCTCTGTCTCAGCTCCAAACACTTCCAATTTAAAACACTTTGTGAATGGAGTTGACTTCAAATGATCTTTGGGCTATACCTGAGCTACCTAGTGCTAAGTTTGACAAGTGTGCACCACACCTAAACCATTAGAGTCACTTAGGTCAAGCTACTAGTTCATACCCCCTTTATAGTATGGCCAAAGTAAAAACAAAGCCCTAAACTAATTCGTCTCTCCAACGCCAAATGACACTTAGAACTAGCCATCCTTAGCCTTGTTGTCCATCCTTTGAAAACCGAAATGATTTCCATCAATAGGGGCATGAATTCCATTGATTGCCCAAACAATCACCATTATTGTGACCTAACTCAATTTGTTTCTATAAAACACACGTTACTCACAATAATCTTGTGTTGTCATTAATCACCGAAACCCACTAGGGGCCTAGATGCTTTCAGACGTTCGGATACAGACACATACATAAAGGATACAGAGACAACTGTTTCAGCCAAACTTCCCAAAGGACCCTAAAGAAAAGAAAAATTACATCGAGACCCCTAGAACCTTTGCGAAGCACCGGAGATTGAAATCCTTGCCGCCAGCCATCGCCGCCTTCGAAGATGTCTACCGCCACCAAGAACTGGAGGAGCCGCACGCACACCTGTTTTTGTAGCAGTCGAAGTAGAAGAAGCCATCAGCGGTCGCCCATCGACCGGGGCCGCGCCCCAACCCCTCCAGCTCCTGGATCTGAGCTCGCCATTGACGGTCGACGCTGCCAAGGGAAAGTTGAACCTGATCCAGCCGGCCACCATCCAGAACTCCCACAACCTACCCTGCAACCTTGAGGAAGAGGAAGGCCAGCAACACCGCCATCTGGCAAAGATGACGACTTACCGGCCCCGGACTCCTGTACATGGGATTCGCCTGTAGATCCCCTCCTCCCTGGTCCCGCCGTTGATGCCAGAGAAGAACGCCAAAGGGACGAGGGAGAGACCGGGAAAAGTTATTCCCCTGCGACACCGCCATCTCCGCCTCACTGGCGCCGCCAGGAAAAGCAAGCCGTAGAGGAGCAACACCCCCCGGGCAAACCCTAACTACACCATCGACTACCGACGGCAAGCACAAGCTAGACCTAGATAGATAACTACCTAGCCTATATACATCTGCACGGCGATTCACCGGTCCTCCTCCCTCTCCGACGCATTTTCGACTGCCGGAGAGGAAGGGGACTGGCGGAATCGCCGCCGGAAACTTGCTTCGCCTCCTTTTTGCCCTAAGCAACAATAGCTGGGGATAAGGATGAAGAGAGAAGAGAAAATGCCTATCTAGGGTTTTGGAAGGGGATGCTTCGGGAGACGGCTGGGGGAAGGGGGTTACGGTTCAAACGCCGCTCATTTGGAGAGGGGAAAGTGAAACAACAAGAACCGGATGGGAAAAGTGAAAGAGTGAAGGAGTCCGTAAATGTCCGAGCACGACGACCTCTGTTGGCGTGCATCAAACTGCCCATGACCTTATCCATCCCGCCACAACAAAGAACTACAAACCCTCCAACCACACACACAAAAAAAAAACTTCCACTGTGGGTCACAACAAAGATAAGCCGCGCGGCCACATACACAAGCAGGGAGGCTTTTCCCTCCACGCACACCTGTTTTTGTAGCAGTCGAAGTAGAAGAAGCCATCGGCGGTCGCCCATCGACCGGGGCCGCGCCCCAACCCCTCCAGCTCCTGGATCTGAGCTCGCCATTGACGGTCGACGCCGCCAAGGGAAAGTCGAACCTGATCCAGCCGGCCACCATCCAGAACTCCCACAGCCTACCCTGCAACCTTGAGGAAGAGGAAGGCCAGCAACACCGCCATCTGGCAAAGATGACGACTTACCGGCCCCGGACTCCTGTACATGGGATTCGCCTGTAGATCCCCTCCTCCCTGGTCCCGCCGTTGATGCCAGAGAAGAACGCCAAAGGGACGAGGGAGAGACCGGGAAAAGTTATTCCCCTGCGACACCGCCATCGCCACTCATCTTGGCGCCGCTTGAAAAAGCAAGCCATGGAGGAGCAACACCCCCCGGCAAACCCTAACTACACCATCGACTACCGACGGCAAGCACAAGCTAGACCTAGATAGATAACTACCTAGCCTATATACATCTGCACGGCGATTCACCGGTCCTCCTCCCTCTCCGACGCATTTTCGACCGCCGGAGAGGAAGGGGACTGGCGGAATCGCCGCCGGAAACTTGCTTCGCCTCCTTTTCGCCCTAAGCAACAGTAGCTGGGGATAAGGACGAAGAGAGAAGAGAAAATGCCTATCTAGGGTTTTGGAAGGGGATGCTTCGGGAGACGGCTGGGGGAAGGGGGTTACGGTTCAAACACCGCTCATTTGGAGAGGGGAAAGTGAAACAACAAGAACCGGATGGGAAAAGTGAAAGAGTGAAGGAGTCCGTAAATGTCTGGAGCACGACGACCTCTGTTGGCGTACCAAAACTGCCCCGCAGCCTTATCCCGCCACAACAGCAACTACAAACCCTCCAACCACACACACAAAAAAAAACTTCCACTGTGGGTCACAACAAAGATAAGCCGCGTGGCCACATACACAAGCGGGGAGGCTTTTCCCTCAGTTGGGGCTGCGTGTGGGCGGCGTCAAGCGGCAGTTGCGGCCTGTAGGCACCGTGCAACGAACCAGAAGGGAAGGTGAAGCTTCCCTCCAAATGGAGATTAATTTTCTGACTTGCCATCGTCATACGTAAGTTGATAACATTCTATATTAGAATCCACCATGCTAGCTAAGAATAAGGGGCTGCGGGGCGTGTGGGCGGCGTCAAGCGGCAGTTGGGGCCTGCAAGCACCGTGCAACGAACCAGAAGAGAAGGTGAAGCTTCCCTCCAAATGGAGATTAATTTTCTGACTTGCCATCGTCATACGTAAGTTGAGAACATTCTATATTAGAATCCACCATGTTAGCTAAGAATAAGTGATAAATTTAATGGTCAAAGCTCAAAGAGAGTATTGCAGTATGTTATAATTTTAACAGAATTTGAAATCTGGCCTTGGAAATATAGGACAAGTTTCAACAAAATTCACGCTATGTTTGCACTACATGTAGAGCACAAACTTGCATTAGTTTGTACTTGTTGAAAAATACCAAATTGCATAGCAAATTTTGCCATTGTTGTTTATCGAATTTCTACATTGGATTTTACCGATTTTCATATGAAAATTCTAGTTTGACAAAGATATTAAATCTGAAAATATTTTTAAAACTAGGTTAACAATGAAATATTGATAAAAAAGAGTTAAAATAACAAAAAAAACGTTGGTCGTCGGCTCCTCGTCGCCTATTAACTTCCGGCTGGTGAGAACTGCCGCCGGTCTGGGCGTGGAAAGCGTCTCATCGGACGACGGACGCTTATCCCACATATTGACCGAGCACGTACGCCCTGATGATATAACGCGTGGTGGAGGGCGTCTCCTGCTTGCCATGTCTCTTGGTCGTCGACTCGGCGTCCCACCCACCGCCGCCGGAGCAGAGGAGGAGGCTGTTTGGCCACAAATCGGTACATCTGCCATGGGCAACTGTGTTCCCGGAACAAGGCTCTTTGCTCCATCCCAAATCGGTACAACTGCTTGCCATGTCTCTTTGCTCCATCCCTCTCGTTCTCTCTCTAATCATCTTTTGTTTGCCGTGCTACAAACATATACTACATAGGATACCTCATCGACCGGCTGCGGAACAAGGCGGACGAGCAACCACAGGCGTCTGCCGCTGAACCGAAGCTTGCCAACACCCAGGCTCCCGGAGGTATTACTACGCCACATGCATGCTCCACTGAACCACAGCAACGCACCACACCATAAATCCATAATCAGAGTTTGTTTGATCTTTTGTTGAATATATATGGTAACTTGGCCTTTTGGCTTTTGACACGAACAAGATTGCTTCGTCGGAACGCCGGGGAACCTCGGGCCGCGGGGGGTGACGGCGGCGACCGAACCAGCACAGCCGGCCGGTGAGCTCAATAGATCAAGAAGCTTCATGGAATGGTACTCCTGCTGCTGAACGCACATCTCCTCAATTTGCTTAATTTGCTATTTGCTAAAAGTCATTCTATTTCTGATTATTCTATCATTTGTTGCAAAAGCAGGAGCAGTGGCAGTACAGGAGTAAACGCATACAACATGGAGAACAAGCGCAACCGAAAAAGTGACAATCTAAAGAAGCTACCATTCGAATTGATAAAACTGATTACAAATGATTTCTCCGAGGAGCTTGGGCGCGGTGCGTTTGGACAAGTCTTCAAGGTAAAACTGATAAACATGAAGACCATGGTTGCTTATATGTACGTGGACAAAACAAATGGTGCTTATAGCTATTTATTTACTTTTTTTTTGTTTCAAATCCAACCCATACGAGCATAAAAACAATACAACCTTTGTATGAGTACCTACAAAAGTTAATCCTGAATAGGGAGTGCTGGAAGATGGAGAAGAGGTTGCTGTGAAGATGCTCCATTTCATGCCTAATATCAGTGACCAGCAGTTCGAAAACGAATTTGAAATCCTTAAGCATCTCAAGCATCCCAATATTGTCCGACTAGTAGGGTTCTGCGATGAAGCTAAAGAAGAACTCGTAGAGTACAATGGTAAACTAATAGTTTGTCAAAGGATACACAGGGCACTCTGCCTTGAGTATATGCCCAATGGAAGCCTTGGCAAGCTCCTTCATGGTTGGTGATTATCACGGTATTGCATGAATATTTTGTCTGCCATGCATGTGAATACAAAATTATTCATTGATAATATCGTGTTTGCTCTTGCAGGTACAAATCTTGGCAAGGATTGGCCGACACGCTATAGAATAATTAATGGAATCTGCGAGGGTTTAGAATATCTTCAAGAGGGATTGGAGTTTCCCATTTTCCATTTGGATCTAAAACCGGATAATATACTGCTAAACCAAGAGATGGTGCCAAAAATATCAGATTTTGGTTTATCTAGGCTCATTGGTGAAGAGAATTCCAAAAGGACATTGACTCCTCTAGGGACAATGTAAGAATAATGCTCAAGTGAATAGTATATATTCCTCAATCTCACCTTACATTTGTCATTAATGTTGTGCTGCAGTGGATACCTACCGCCGGAGTTCATTAATTATCAAGTAATCTCGAAGGAGTATGATATATACAGTTTAGGTGTTATAATTACAAAAATTATCACTGGAATTACAGGCTACTCAGAAGTTGCCGACATGGGTGCCGAAGAATTTGTTGAACAAGTAAGAATATGTTATTTTTTACGTACGAGAGTTCCATTAGGACCTCATTGCACCAAGTTCGCATCACAGCTTGTGACATAGTAAGAAAATACCGTTAGATTTACCATGTGTTGGTTTCCCATATGTTGTATACTATTTTTTTGGAAAAAGGATAGTTCCTGGCCTCTGGTTAAGCATGCAGCCTGACTTATATTACAACGTTTCTAGCTATCCAGCAGCTGCACATGGAAATCAAACATTACTTGAAAAAAATTAAAAATTAAAGGAAGCCAAGTCTATTATTAATCTTCCATCCTTTGGAATAAAAAAAAATCGATGCAACTGCCTCCACATGCAGAACAAATCATCTCTCCCTTAGTTCACTCTGCAGCAATGTCTAAAATCACTTTAGTCCTAATGCTTTTGTCAACCTTTGGCTAATACTCCATCTAGAACACCAAATAAATGTTGCACCAATACATATTTAGTCTGAACTCATAAACTAATTTAATGCCATAAATATTAGTACATTTTTCTATAACTCGGTTGAAATTACAGAACGTTTGGCTCAGGACAAACTAAATTGGAAATACATTAGTCTTTGGAACGAAGGGATAAATTATAGCGCAGACTCTTCAATCTACAAGTTCTGCTTGTTATTATATTGTTTAATTAGTTAGAGTTATTAAAAAAGCTCGAGTTTTGTAGTGCAAGAGGCTCACCTTCTGATCACCTAACTGCGCCAATAATTTCCTACGGTCTGTTGTTATTGATTCACGTGTTCAAAACATGAACCCATATTTGCAAGAGGGCAGTCGGTACTATGTTTTGTTGCCAGGTACGCTTCCAATTTTCATTGATGTTAACCACATCTGTACTGCTGTACTCTGTGTTTTGACTTCCAAGGTTCATGAGAAATGGAAAAAATGTCTACAAGAGATACCCAAGTATGCATCACTTGAAGTAGATTGCAAACAAGTGAAAAGATGTATCGAAATTGCAAGAAGGTGCATGGAGAATGATCGCCATAAAAGGCCTATAATCAATGATATTGTTCGCCAATTGTATGAGATTGACATGGAAAATTTTGAACTTCCACCGCCGCCGCGCAGAATGGTACGATTTATTAATCTGTTGCATGCAAACTATCGACCGTATGCTATTTTTCCAAAAAAAAAATATCTATGCCCATAGTAAATACAAAACTTTTAGTACATCATATGGCACTGGACTTGGACTATATATGTATTTTAGTACTACACTGGAAATACTATAACAAAATGTTAGTTTTATTTTCAAATATAAAAATGACAAAAATATATACTCATATGCCACATAATATTGATTTTTTTCCATCTTCCATTCAAAGATGGCCAGTCTTCTTCAAAACAGAGCGAGAGGGCAAACCAAAAGATCCTCGACCTACTCTCTCAACCCTGAAACAAAATGGATTTTTAGTTGTCTCAAACATTCTAGGAGGAATTCCTAGTGTGGCATTAAAAAAGATCGTAATGCCCTGTGTGTCTCTGAGAAAGTTTAGCGGTCTTCAGCGCCACTGCTCTAACTTTTTTGTGCCCTCTATGCCACTGCCGTCAGTTTGAGCTCTAACGCCGTCAAACTGCAGGTGTAAAAAGTCGAAAATACCCTTATGACTAAATACGTCATTAATATTTTTTGAGCATCTTAACGACTTCAAATGAAAAAACTCAAAACTAGAAAGTTGTAGATCTCGCCGAGATCTATAATTTTCATATAAAAATTATCTTCATTTAATTCCGCAAAAAAATATGATTTGATATGATTAATATATCTTAGAAAAATCGTATCTTTTTTTGCGGAATTAAATGAAGATAATTTTTATATGAAAATTATAGATCTCGACGAGATCTACAACTTTCTAGTTTTGAGTTTTTTTATTTGAAGTCGTTAAGATGCTCAAAAAAATTAATGACATATTTAGACATAAGGGTATTTTTGATTTTTCATACATGCAGTTTGACGGCGTTAGAGGCCAAACTGACGTCAGTGGCATGGAGGGCATAAAAAAGTTAGAGCAGTGGCGCTGAAGACCGCTGAACTTTTTCAGGGACACACAGGGCATTGCGATCTTTTTAATGGCACGTAAGGAATTCCCCCTCTTTCTAAGTTTGACCCAATTTAAAATTTCTCTAATATTTACTACACTACTAAATGAACTTAATTAGATACATAACTTATGTTTTTGCAGCCTGTTCGTTTCGGCTTATACGATCGTGGATTATAAGCTGGAACAATATTTTTCTCTCACACCAAACCAGCCAGCAGTACTTCTGGCTTATAATCCACAATCGTTTCAGCCGAAACGAACAAACTGATGATGTGGTAGATCATAACGTTATTTTCTACCGACTGGGTCAAACTTAATGTGATGACTTGGTTCAATTGAAAATGCATTATATAAGTCTGAAAATATTGATGGAACAGGTACCATAGGATTAGGAAGGCGTATAGATAATGTCGAATTAGAATGTAGTGTCCTGTGCCCAGCTATATATATTCAGGGACATGGCAAGTTTTTTCTTGTCTCTATTTGCTGTTGGCGGGGGCAGGATACTATATTTATTTATTTATTTTTCGATCAATTCGGGAGAAGTTCCCACCTACTATATTGAAACGGAGGAGCTAAAAGCTCAAACGGATACAGCGTACTTTCGGCATACCAGAAGGTGTACAAAGTGTAGAAGGGGGTGTGTGGAGAGACAAAGCAGAGAGAGAAAATCAGGAAATATTACAGCAACTAAGTACATGTTATAGACAAGCCATGGCACATGGGGAGGAAGCCACGAAGGGGGTTGGTTGAAGAGGTGGATTATTAGGTCAGAATAATATTTTTTTCTCAAACCAAACCAGCCAGCAGTAATAATCTACGATCGTAATCTACGATCGTTTCAGCCGAAACGAGCAGGCTGGAGAGCGCCGACAGAGCACATGTGCCGAAGACAGACACTCGCAGAGTCATGGTAGCAACCACCAGCCTAGATTAGGAAGGCTCAACAGAAGAAAGATGTGGAACGAAGCAGGAGGCATCTCACAAGGGCGAAACAAGGGGGCAAGACTTAGCAGGAGCTGCGGTTTGTGCGAAGGTGAAGGACCTCTCCACTTTCGCTGCATGTTAGCCAATTGATGAGCACCAGGAGCGAAACGAACCAAGCAGAGGTGAAGCGCCTCCCCGCGCACCTGGCGCGATACTTTCGCTGCTCGGTTGGCCCAGCCAGCGCAGATCCGATGCCACCGAAGCCGAGGTGAGCAGCAGTCCCACGGATGTAGCTGAAGTCGCTCGGGACCGGCACCCATGGAGGAAGGTGAGGGTAGGGGGGCGAATCTGGCCGGGGCTAGCCAGATCTGGGCCCAACGGAACCGGCCTATCAGAGCCCTAGGGAAGTGCCGAGGCGCTGACGACGGGACAATCGCTCGCACTGTTGCAGTCGCGAGAACGAGCTGATGCCGCTCGGTCAACCAATACCAAAGGAGGAAGGATAGGGAGCAGCCCCCGCTTGCCGTCCGAGCGACAGCAGAGGCCAGAGAAGCCGGAGTCGGCGGCTCACACAGCCCGACCTCCATGCCAGGGCTAGCCACCGCCGAAAAGACAGATCCAAGCCCAAGGATGGTGGATCCGCGCACAGGGACGACAGATCAGGCCGCGGACTGCGGACGCCGAACTCGATGGCGGTGGCGACGGTGCCATTTTCCGGCCGAAGCCGGAACGCTCGGCCGCCCTCCTCACGGCCACCGGCTTCCGGCGGCGATGAGAGGACCCTAGGGAGAAGGGGTGGCCCGACGTTGGGGGGGGAGCGTTATTTTGTTCGGAGTGCCTGCACAATTTATGCCACCACATTAATTAATTATTTGAAATCCTATCCTTGTTTAATCGAACTGATTGTCTGTAGCGCCTTCCGTGGACTTTTCCGGACCCAGAGTATAGTGAAGATTGCTATCCAAGGTCTCCAAGGTGCATAAGAGCACCGGCCTCGGTCCTACGAAATGACGTGACTTCATCTGGTAACTGGGCCACAGTGTGTAGAACCCAGCCCGGATCGATAGATGGGACCCGCGGTGGGGAAAAGTCACCATCTCTCAACCGTTCGCTTCTTTCGTTGCATTTCTTTTTTCGTTGGGAGCGGGTTTGATACAAAGAACTCGGGTCTCTATCGACTCATCCTTGCAGTGTATCGACCCAGGTACGAGGCGCGCGTTCATTGCATCAAACCAGCCTCGACCCCCACACTGCTGATGCTCTAAGGCGTGCAAGTCGTTTTCTGGAATGGACGCACACGCACGGGTATACAAGGTATTGTAGAAATTTTAGATATTATATATATATGGTAAATTAAATGACACATAAAAAAATCTCTTGTTACCATTGGTTAATAATTGAAATTAATAATATGTATGACGTATGAGAGAGAATATTGCCTTTTTAAATTAAGTTAGAGAGTTGATCTAAATTTGTTTATTATTTATTTAAGTTAAATTTTGAACGCATGGATAGGTTATATTTCAGCGCGACGGAACCATTAAGTATGGAGGAACTAATACTAAGTTGGAGGACATCAGTTCACCTTTTTTTTTATACTTTATTTAAGATAAATTTTGAACACTTGTATATCTTAGTGATTTGTCTATGGAGGAACTACTCGGCTCGTCGCACAAGGATCCTCCATCGCATTTCAGTACGGCTGAACTAGGAACCATTGATTGGGGTCCAACGCCCTTGTACTTGGAGAGAGTATCTGGATCGTCGGACAACGATCCTCCCTCCGAGATCTGCCATCCCGCCCGCCCGGAGCACAAGCTGAAGCTGATGACAGACGCTGGCGCGCCGTTCTTGTGCGACGGCTGCAAGGAGCCCGGTTACGGGCCCAGGTACAGGTGCGACTACGGCGGCGGCCAATCCATGGACGACCTCCACACGCGTTGCGCACTCGCCGGGGATCCTCTGGTGCATCCTCTGTTCGGCTACGGCAAGCAGTTCGAGTTCCGGTTCCTCCATGAGGCCCCGTCGTCCCCGGTCCACGAGGGCAGGAGGGTCTGCGACGCTTGTGGCGAGGCCACGAGGGGTTTCGTCTACCACTGCTCCGAGCAAGACCTCGACCTCCACCCGTGCTGCGCGGCCCTGCCGGACCGCATTGTCCTGGACGGCCGTGCCTTCGATCTCCACCGGAGGGCATCGCGGCCGTGTGCATTGTGCCCAGAGAATGAGGGCCAACGCCGTTGGTTCTGGGCGTACCGCTGCGACGTGGACGGCGAGGCTGTAGACCTGCACGTGGCGTGCCTCAAGGAAACGGCTCGCCGCAGCTGGGAGGCCAACAACCGAAACCAGGACGACGTGGGTGGTGGCGCCCTGAATGTCGACCACATGCTTGAGAACATGTTTGGCGAGATTGCAGGGACCGTTGCTAGCTTCATCACGGCGCTGGTTTTTGGGAACCTCATTGTCAAGATGTAGCCGCCTCTGCAGCGCACCATTTGTTTCTGGGAATCTCGATGGAGCCTAAAGCCACCGTATTATACCAAGATGTGTGTGACGACCATTGTTTGCTTCTACTACTCTATCTGTATCTGTATGTATATGCACGGACTAGTTTGTTTAAACTGGTAGACACCTATGTGTTATAAAAAACATTTCAGGCATAATGAATAAATATTAATATTTTGTTACTAGCCAATTCATATTTATCATGTAAAAAATAATTGATCTTTGCAATGATTCAATAGGGTACGGTATGTCAACATATCCTGGCCTAACTCAAATATTTAGGTGTATAGTATATATGGCTTATTGCTATGTTGATATCTCCTTTGTTCGTACTACAAAAAAACATATATTATAGATATAAATTAGATGAGAGCATTTAAAAATTTTTTGCACACAATGTCTATAAATAAATGTTAGCATGCACATGTCTGTCATCTCCCATTCTCACCATCTTCATCTTATTCCCCACCTCCCATCTTATTGTGCTCCCACCCCCTTTTTCCTACCTGTTTTCTGTCTCATGCAACTCCCATTCATCTTCTTAACCCTTTTCTCTCTATCCCCCATTCCCTCCTCTTAAACCAAAGCAGGTAAAAAATTGATTATCATTTTATAAATATGATGACATGACAATAGGCAGGTAAATATGAAATCTTATCATATTGTTCTAACACATTTGAAGGACTAAATTTAACTCATTGTAAATATCGGTCTTGTGCAACACTCTATACTATCTTTTATCATGTGTAATTCAAGAACTTGATTAAGGTTATTATCATCTTTATGGTTTCAAATCATGCAATGAAAAGATCGGTTCCGTCAATGCCTCATCCTTTAATGATGTGACCATATCGATTCTTGATGACCCTTTATCAAACTGAACTTACTATAACCAAGCTTGGACATGCATAAATGTAATTTGTAAAAAGTTGCATAATGGTATTCATTATTTAAATATTGCAAGGATATTGAGTCCTAGCATTTTTAAATAGATTTATATATGGTCCTTGCAATTAAGATATATGCTTGCTTTAACTTCATCCTAACAAACTTAACTAACTTGAGTTTAGTAACACTGTGTTGAATGAAGAAACATAATAAGAATGCGGACACATGGTTGATATGTGCCGATGTGGTCTTGTGTGATGAGTGATTGTCAACATGATTTGCGTCTTGGGTTGAGTTGGTGAACTAACCATGGTGTGAGTTGGTTTGTGCAACATGTCACTTGACTTGTGGTGCGCAGGTGTGGAGCTCGGAGGCGGTGGTCGATGGCGAGGTGAAGGTCAAGTAGAGACAGGCCGTGCCGATGGACCGGGAGCGGTGAAGGTCGGACGTGAGGCTTGGACTGAGGGACTGGAGCACTGGAGGACCAGCCGCGGTGGCTGACACCTAGGGACATCGACAAGCACAAGTGTACATGGAGGAGTGACCGTGTTGACCGAGTCAAGACGACGGACGTGCAAGTCGAGCGGAGGCTCTGTAAGACTTGGCGGTCGGGCAGTCGAGGACGGCGATGACACTATATCAAAAAAGTACATATAACCGCTCCTCGACACGTGTGGCGTGGTGCCTCCCTGGAAGAAGTCGCCTCCCCCTTAACAGCAGCTAGTGCCTCCTCAAGTGCAGCTAGCACAGGCTGAGGAAGCTGCTCGAACGGCCCAGAAGAGGTGGAAGTAGAGGGATCGGGACCGTGAGCCGAAGTAGTCATTGTAGGCTCGAGAGGGGCAACCGGTGGAGTCAGCTCGGGATCACCCCAATCGGCATCTTCATGCTCCTCCCCCACAAAGATGCTTTCACCAAGCTCATCCTCACCTGCACGCTCAAAGACAGGAATTGCACAAGGTATGGTTTCATCGAATGTGACCTCACAGGTCTCCATGACACGATTAGTTTCAAGGTGAAGTACACGATAAGCTCGAGAATGAGAAGCATAACCAAGAAATATCCCATCGGAGGACCTAGACTCAAACTTGTCCAAATTACCTTGCTTGAGGATGAAGCACTTGCATCCAAACACCCTGAATGGCTTACCTTGGGTGGCCACCCAAACCGCAACTCATAAGAAGTCTTCTTCATGAAAGCTCGAAGAAAAATGCGGTTTGAAACATGGCAAGCGGTGTTGATTGCCTCAGCCCAATATCTCCTAGAAGTCCTATACTCATCGAGCATCGTCCTAGCCATTTCAACCAAAGTCCGATTTTTGCGCTCAACAACACCGTTTTGCTGGGGGACATAAGGAGATGAAAACTGGTGCTCAAGACCCAAAGAAGAGAAAAAAGTTTCAAAATGAGTATTCTTGAATTCTGTGCCATTGTCACTGCGAATCGCTCTCATGGCATTCTTAGGGAACTCATTTTGCAACCTCAGAATCAAATCTCGAGCATGAGAAAAAGCCTCATCCTTACCCTCCATGAAAAGCACCCAAGAGTAGTGAGAAAATTCGTCCACGATCACAAGAACGTACCACTTCCTACCTTCTGACCGAACCTGAGATGGACCAACTATGTCCATGTGAAGTAGCTCACCAGGTTCCTTGGTCATGACTTGGTTCACAGGAGGGTGAGAAGCAGCAACAATCTTCCCATGGCGACAAGGGTGACAAACAAGATCCTTCTCAAACTTCAGCTTGGGCAATCCTCAGATTAAGCCAAGTGAGCTCAACCTAGCAAGTAGATCAAAACTCAAGTGACCAAGCCTCCTATGCCACTTCCAAAGATCAGAGGAGGATCTGGCCACAAGACAGCGAGAAGAGCCAAAAGAGTTAGAAAAGTCAGCTCGAAAGACACGGCCAAAAGGGACAATCTGACAAACAAGATTTCCCTGAGAATCAAGAACTCCAGACAAGCCAGTCTTAAAGCGCACTTCAAAGCCATCCCCAAGGAGTTGCGAAACAGAGAGCAAGTTAAAATGCAAATTCAAAACCAGTGCAACATCCTTGAGAACAAAACTCTCATTAACCCGAATGGTTCCATGAGAGACCACCTTACCTTTGCTATTGTCCCCGAATGTGATGTACTCCTTGCAACTCACGGGGTCGAGGCTGGAGAACCACTTTGAGCTTCCGGTCATGTGGCGCGAACGGCCAGAATCAATGAGCCATGTGTTCTCTAGGTCTCCATCCTGTATCAATAGAAAGGCATGGGTTGAGCAAATGGCCCAACACTGGGGTTAGTAAACTGTGAAGGATATCAGTGTTGGCTCATTTGCCCTAAAAAAGTGTTACGAAAAATACCAAACATGCCATGTTCCATTTTGAGGGAAGCGATCACCACATGGGGGAAAACGTGGTTCGCTAAAGCTATGAGACCGAAAGCCACTGCCACGAGATTCAAGGTCATATTGATCACGACCAGAACCCCATTGGGCACGACCACCATGTGGTCTCGCACCTTGAGGCCTAGCACCTTGAGGCATTGTACCTCTAGGCCTAGCACTGTGCCTCTGAACAGGTAGTACATATACTCTAAGGGGTGGGTGGTACATGTTCCGGTTGTTCAACTCATACTCATGCCTCTCATCTCCCTTCCTCCTAAAGCAAAACTCAACAAGGTGACCATCCTTATGGCAGTAATCATAGTGATACCTCACCTCTCTCTTGGGTGGTGGTTGGTTCACTCTCTTGTGGGTATGGTTCACTCTTGGTGGGCTTTGGACTCTAGGAAGGGGATCCTCAGAGATGTTTGGTAGAGTGTCAAGTGGGTTCCTGAGATGGTTTGGTTTTGGAATCCACACTTGTTTCTGGGGTGGAACTTTTGGAGGTTCTTCAAACACTCCATCTTTGACACTGGACTCAGTGGGCTTTGGTGGTGTGATTTTGATCAATTTGGGAGTGGTGGAGGGTTTCTCACTTGGGGTCAAACCACTGCACTCACCAACCTAGCCATAGAGATTTTCACCCTTCCCACCTATAGCAAAGCCTACTCCTGGTCCACCAGTTCCCCTCTTGAGCTGGTTAACCATCAGGCCCAACTGTGGCTCACTGCAAGACACCCAGCTCAAGATGGTCTGAAGATATGTGTTTTCCTCCTTAGATCTCATCTTGTCATGCCTGCATGACTCAAGCTCCAACTTCAGACTCTCACAAAGCGCACACCTAGCAACAACTGTGCTATCTGAACTGGCCTTCTCAAGAGCAGAGATCTTGGCATTCTTCTCTGCTAGCTCAGATTGCAAGCTCGAGCGGGACTTGCACGCACCCAACAAAATAGACCTAGCCTTCAACTCATCATGCTCATCTAACAGAGTACCATACTTGTTTTGTAAAGTAACAAGACTAGACATGTGAATAGCACAAGTATCACACTCTGTTTCCTCGATCACAGACACAGAAGACCTAGCGAGCTCCAAGTCCTTAAGCGCTTGCTCTAGCCTTTCCTTATACTCTTTCCTCTCACGAGTAGCACGCTTAAGCAGTCTATCCTGACTAAGCAAGGCATCGCTCAAAGCATCTAGCTCAGTGGTGAGCTTGTCGACAGAAGGTAGTACCTCAGGAGTGTTGTCGTTGCCGATCGCCTCATCCTTGCTGGTCTCCTCGTCTCCAAGAGCCATGGTGCAGAAACCACCATGGGAAGAGTCAGTGAAGAAGCAGAGACCATTCAGTCTCTCCTCCACCTTCCTCTCATGCCCGTCGTCGTTTGAGGAGAGGGAAGCTCGCTCGTCGTCGGAGTCATCGAGGTCACTGAGTGATGCCAGGAAGGCGTGTTGCTGAGTAATGTGGACAGGGATCCTGATCTTCCATTAGGTGGAGGTAACTATCGTTGTGGCGGAGAATGACACACCGATCTGGCTTCAGATCGAAAGATCGAACCCTGCAATCTTAGCACCACAGCTCCTCTGGTTATCAACCGAGTCATGGACCAGGTTGACCTCGCCAAGAAGGCTAATCCCTACCTGCGCAACGAAGAACACAAGCAAGAACAAGAAAGAACACAACCAAATTGCAGATGTATGATTAATCTCACGAGTTG